GAGAGTTAATGAAAGAATGAATGAATGAACACATATCTCAGTTGTATCTCTGTGGTATAAGATGGCATGAGGTGCCCAGCATTCTAAATCAGGGCATCTTCTACCACTGCCTATTGCAGGAAGGTTTTCTGGAGCACTGTGGGGTGGGGGTGTCCTGAGCCTGAGTGCGGCAGTTGGCACTCTACCACTACCTGCAGCTTAAACACCTGTCTCCTGTGGGTTAGCTTCAGCTGCAAGGACTCACACTTGAGCTTTCAACTTACCCTGAGACCTAAATTTCAAAGAACAAACAAGCAAGGCACAAATATCTCCTTGCTTCTTGCATTTATCCAGGGTTTGAATAAATGCAGATGTCTGAAGGATCAGTCAGAGCTTTAAATGAAGTAAGGGTTCAAGATATAAGAAAACAGGGACAGGGCGGAATTCAAGGATGCCCTCCCAATTAAATAGATTCAAATTATTTAAAATATTACAGAAAAAAACACTCTGTTTAGCTCATGTGGTTAAGATTACAGAACATGCCACTAGATTGGGGAAGGGAGGTGGAATCTCAGCTTTGCTCCTTACTTGCTATAAGATTTTGAGCATGTCTGTATGCCTCAGTTTCTACAACTATAAAAAAAAGTGTGTAGATTAATACCACCAATCAAACTGGGTTGCTATAATAATTAAGTGCTGTGCAGATTAATTACAATAGTGCTCAGGATAGAGTAGTGTGTGTGTGTGTGTGTGTGTGTGTACAATTTGACATAGTTTATTCCCGTTATGCCTTATCTGTGTTTATGGCAGGCATAATTTCATAGGCACAGCCTGACGGGTATAAATTTGTCTGTGGAGCCATACCCAAAAGATGATTTCAGGGGTGCTATGTGTCAAATGTGTCTCCTAAAAGTTTATGTGTTGAAAACTTGATCCCCACTGAACAGCGTTAACATGAGGATAGTGTTCTCATGAATGGATTAATTCATTTGTGGAGTAATGGGTTGTTGCTTATAACACATATCTGCAAATGTGGAAGCAGCTTTGGAACTGGGTGCTGGGCAGAAGCTGGAAGAATGTGGAACAGCAGGCTAGAGAAAGCCTATATTCTGGTGAGAACTTAGAAGACAGGAAGACCAGAGAAAGTTTGGAGCATTTTAAAGACTAGTTAAATAGTGGTTATCAGAATGCTGACAGAAATATGGACTGTAAAGACCATTCTGAGGAGGTCTCAGATGGAGATGAGAAGGAGCTTTATTGAAAATTGTAGCAAAGATCACCTCTGTTAAGAACTGGTAAAGAACTTAGCTGAATTGTGTCTACATTGGAGGGTTTAATGGAATCAGGAACTTAAAAGTGATTAACGAGGGTATTTGCCAGAAGAAATATCCAAGCAGCAAAGCATTCGGGCAGCTGTGTGGCTACTTCTAACAGCTTACTCTGGCTTATGCAAGTGAAAGTATGACATAAAGGCAGAATTTATAACTCAAAGTGAAGCAGAGAGTAAAAAATTGGAAAACTATCAGCTTGACCACATAAAGAGTGAGAAAGTGTATTTGAAAGAGGAAACCAAGGGTGTAGCTCAATGACCCATTGGCTGGGGAGATCAGGACAGAAATAAGAAATCATCAAGAGAATAGAAGGAAGATTCTGCAGGCATTTCAGAGATCTATGAGGTTGTCCCTCCCATCACACGTCCAGATGCCTAGGGAAACAGTGGTTTTGGGGAACAGGTCCGAGATGCCCTCCATGGGCTTGCTGTCCAGGGCCACCTTGCAAAGCTACTCTCCACACCCAGGCTCTTCCAGCTCTTCCAGCCATAGCTACATTGGACCCAGGTGCTGCTGGACCCACTGCTTCAGAAGATACAAGCTGGAAACCTTGGTGACATCCACATGGTGTTAAGTCTGCAGGCTTGCAGAATGCAAGAACTGTAGAAACATGGCAGCCTCCACCCAAATTTCAAAGGATGTATGGAAGAGCTTGGGGGTTCAGGAGGAGATTTGTCACCAGGGCAGAGTCATCACAGAGAGCCTTCACTAGAGCAATGTCAAGTGGAAATGTGGGGTCAAGGTTGCATCAGAAAGCTGCCACCAGGGACAAGCTTACTGGAGCCATGAAAGCAGGACTGTCACCTGGACCCCAGAACTGTAGAGCTACCAGCTCACAGCACCAGCCTGGGAAAGCTGAAGCATGAGCTGAGTCCAGAAAAGCAATAGGTGCAGGGCTGCAGGAAGACTTGGAGGTACAATCCCCTACCAGCGTGCGGTGGATGCCAGACATGGAATCAAGGGAGATTATTCTCCAGCTTTAAAATTTAATGCCCTCTGTGCTGGGTTTTGAACATGTTAGGACCTGTTTCCCCTTCCTTTTGGTTCACCTCTTCTTTTTATAAGGGGAATGTCTGTCTTATGCTTGTCCCAACATTGTGTCTTGGAAGTAGATAACTTGTTTGTTTTCACAAATGAGACTTCAGACTTTTGTGTTGCGATAGTTAAGATCTTAGGGATGGAATGAATGTATTTACATATGATAAGGACATGAGCTCTGGGGGCTAGAGGTGAAATGCTATGTGTCAAATGTATCCCACAAAAGTTCATTGTTGAAAATTTGATCCCCACTGTAACAGTGGTAACAAAGTTGGAAATACAATTATAATATTTGAAAGATGGAGTCTCTGGGAAGTGATGGGATCATGAGGACTGTGCCTTCATGAACAGATTAATCCATTTATAAAATAACAGGTTGATGAATTAATGAGTTGTCATGGATGTGGACCGGTGGCTTTACAAAGAGAGCACATGATGAGCTCTTGCCATGCTCACCATGTGATATCTTGTGTTGCCACAGGACTCTGTAGAGAGTCCTCACCAAGAAGAAGACCCTCACTAGATGCACCCCATGGACTGCATACTTTCTAGCCTTTAAAACTGTAAGAAACAAATTTTGTTTCTTTCTAAATTACCCAGTTTCAAGTATTTTGTGTTAAGAAACAGAAAATGGGCTAATACAGGGGGAAATCCACATCTTTAGTGACCTATGACCATCTTACCATGGTTGAACTACATTATAAGAGGAAGATCTGGTTTAGAAGGAAGATTACTGAGCTGATTATTGAGAGATCTTGGTTCTGGTCATGGCTATGTCCTGAACTTGCTGGCTGGCCTACGTGAACCTGCTTAACAACCTTGGTGTCCTCAGCCAGCCTTATCAGTGTCAGAGAGGCATGATGGGACAAAGCTTCAGACTCAACAGGCTGATATATTGATCCTAATCATAATCATATAAAAGTATGCTGATAAATAGGAGGTCTAATAACCCATAATGTTTCCCCTGTCTCTTGTAGGCTCTCCAAGGCTAGATGGGCTTGAAATGACCAGTCACCATCCTAGTCTCTCTCTCCTTTTCTTCTTCCCTTTCATGCCCCTCTTAGAATTAATAATGCCTGTTAACCCTGTGGGCCACTGTTATTATTATTATTATTATTATTATTATGCTTCAGGCCTGACTCAACTCAGGCACCCCAGTTCTAATGCTACCTTTAGGACGACACACCAGTTTTTACTTTCAATGCCATACACAATTGGAAAGCAAAGTGAAACAAAGAATAAACCAAGAAAAAGTAGAGTAAGAGACTTTTCTAGAGTTTCCTCGTAAGATCTGGAGAGGAGAGCACTGTGTATGCCCCATGCTCCAGGCTTCCTTTCTGCTGTGTCTCTCCACCCCCACCCCCCCAGTCCACCCTGAAACGCAGCTGCATGAATTGGGCAGGACAGATCTAAACCCCAAACTCGCCTCATGACACCAGCATATTATGAGGGGAGGCATGTTCTTGGTGGCAGGACAGTGTTCTTTGAGATCATGCTACAAGGATGTCCACATCTTTGCTCTCTTTGCCTATTCTAGCAATTGTTTCATCCCATAGGATTTTGATCTAATAGTGTTCTCAGACATAACTCTATCAAGAGTCCTCATCCTTGCAGGGAAGAATGAAGCAGTATGGGAAAAAAACCTGGAGACTGCTCCTAACAGCCCTCCTCACCGGGGTCTTTCAGTGCTCTTTGTGTGAAGTTCCACCCATCTATCATCTAGTCTTCTCGTATTCCATTTAGTCTACACTCTGTTTAAAATCTAATTCTCACCTATTACTTAAATTAATAATGAAAAATTTAGACACTAGAGCCTAAGTTCTATTAGATACCCAGTGATTTGGGAAATGATATCTTCCTTAGGTGCTGTGGTATTTAGCCTATCACTAGTTCGGAAGCTTAAATAATATGAGTAATCTACTATAGCCTTACAAAACTAATTTAGTCCATTTATTTAGTGTTAGTGAAAAAAAATGCCCTGTATTTGTGAATTTTAAATCAATTGGAATCATTTTTAAAAGAAAGGAAGCGATAAAATTTTGGTTTATAAAATATTAGTATACTTTTGTCAAATAAAATACTGTTTTAGAATAGCAAAAGCCATACTGTGTCATTATATAAAAAAAATATATAAGGCTCAAAAGAAAATATTATTCTCAGAAGTAAGCCCACTTATTCTACAAGGTAATGTGCAACTCATATATACTACTTCTCTCTAAGACCTGGACAATAGACTTCTACTAAGACAGCTGCATTTATGGTCGTTGTTTTAAAAAGCCGTTAGTAAAGACTGCAGAAAAGGTGACAGGATATATGTGGCAAGTGTCCTTCTGAAATTCAGATATGCTTATGATCTTCTCATTTACACTTAATAGATTCCAGCACAGAATAAATAATAAAGAATTACTGCTACACAGTTGAAGCAAATTAAATTCAATGCATTTGAGACTTCAGCAGTGAATTGATACTGACCCTGAATACCAATTGCAACTCATGAAGGTAAAATATAATCAAAGGTTTGGCTGGAATTCTGAAAATAAGCTGCCCAGGTGGGACAAACTTGTGGTGGAAATTATGCAGGTTGTGAAGGGCATGCAGTGTCCCTCCAGCCCAGTCTGACACGCCATCGGGCTTCATGCCATCAGCACTCACCATTCTTGCAGAGCAGGACAGCTAGGAAGTCCTGAGAAGAAGAATTGATAAAGAGCAAAAGGCTGGGTGCCTGAGCTGTCACAAAGCTAAACGCAATATTCTCCCTGGATGGAGCTGGATCTGTGTAAATAGCTGAAGATGAGAAGCTTATATTCTTGGTCACAGGGTAGGGCTCTTGAAACATGTAAGTAACCGACGTGCCAGCCTCAAAAACAGCAGAAACCTCTGCAAAATATAAGAGGGGAGAGCACACATTGAACGTGTAGTCAATTACTCAGGATAGCCATAACTGCTTGTTTAGTGTTTCCTATGCACCAGGCACCATGTGAGGGGTTTTACATGAATTATATAATGTGTTCCCCATGATAATTTTGGAGTGGCAGAAGTTATTATTCTTATTTACAAATGAGAAACTTGAGACTCACAGAGACTGAGAATCTTGACTAAGGTTGCATAGCTAGAAGAGAACGCTCGGGTTTGCCTCTTTAAGTTTAGGTGCAGTTCAACATACACTGCAGAATGACTAGCATGTAAGTTATTGAGAGTATGCCATTGGCAACGTGGAGTTTGGGGCAGCAGTAATTCTCTGTGATGTTGGGTAAAGTGTGAAGACCAAGGGAAACAGTAAAAATGGATTTTGTGGGAACAGTAGAAAAGGAATAAGTATACAACACCTGGACTCAATTTTCAGATGTCTAGAGCACACAGGCCATCCAATAGGAAGCAATCTCTATAGCACAACACATTAGATGGAGGTGTGCCACCACCATGGAGAAACATGGCATCTACCAACTGATGAAATTCAATTAGCAGGAACCTGCACATCAGCCGTTCCCGCTTGTAGAATGTTCTTACTCTGTTACCATTTAGTTTAGTGGAACTAGCACAGTTTGAATTAGCACCAAGTCTATAGTGTCATTGAACTTCATGCTGGCTGTGTGGTCCCAGGAAAGTTAGTGAACCGTATGGAGACTGTCTTCTCATCTGGTGAGTGGGAATCATAACACCTAGCTCATCAGTGTTTCTATGTGGATAAATGAGATAATGTGTGTAAAGTGCTAAAGAGAGTTACCTGGCATAGGTTCAATTCATAGACTCTCTGTGTTACAAGAAAATTTAACCTATACCCATCCCAATAGCCTTCATACAATGTGTCTGTTTATTGATTGCACAACCCTCAAATACTGGGATATTATCCTTGGATCAAGGTTGCTCTTGAGTTTGTTTTTAATTTTATCTCTGTGCAGTATCATGGTGCTGCTTCATAGAGCAACACACCTTACTTCTGGCAGCCAAACTCTGCCATAAAAACCACACAGTAAACATGAACATATATGGGCATGATTAATTTCCTTTTGTCCTGGAAGACATGTGGAATGTTCCTAATTCTCCATGAAATTCTCTGATTGAGTTGGTGGCACCTAGAGCATAATCAAATCTGACTTTTGCTTCCTAATTCTATTGTAAATTTGTTCCACCTTGTGAAAATTCTGTAACAGTCTGTAATAGTGCCAAAAAATTAAAGTTGCATATTTATGCATATTGTCTAGCATATTGGGAATACTAGTTCATTTTTATTAAAGGTTCGGATAAAGTGTTTCATATTTATCATGCAGGTTACAACATCACTACTCCTAATTATAAAAATATGCAGCAGACACTTGTGACCCTGAGGATTTTGGTTAATCATCAGTGTGATTCAAGCATTTTCCTCGAGTAAATTTCCTCAGGCATATTTGGCCCGCATGTTGAGTGACCATCTCCTAGTAAACAGAATAAAGGTTTTTTTTATTTGATGTTTGTGTGTGCTTAAACACAAGTCTACTTCAGAGCATTCTGTTATGAATGGCATATTAAATATGGGCGTATGTGCTACTTTCTATACTTAGGACAAAAAAATAAAAATTAAAAGCATTTTGTAATTAGAAATGTTAAACCAAATTTCTACTGCTGCTTTTCTCTCAGCCCCAGTTCTAATTATTTTTATAGTTTGGATATTGTCTATTTTGGCTTAAATTTAAATTCAGCAAAACACCTGAACTCCATTATTCTTTCAGTTTCTTATGTTTCATAATCTAAGAGTTTAAGCTTCCTCATCAAATAGATTGAATACTCTGAACATCCAAAACCACTGGGCTCAATGGATTGAAAAAGTTAACTTGAAGGTGATTACTAATGACCATGATGCTACTCCAAGCCCAATGTCAGTGTTAGTAACATCCCTTGAGTTCCCACTTGGTAGAAAGAACTAGGCTAATTAGTTCTGAGATGGTGGGACACATGTTTAAAAAATAAACACCAGTGGTTAGCCTAGGATTTGACGAATGAGTGACAGAGACAACGGTTCCCAGAGCTGTATGTCTCTGAAGACCAGAGCACACTGACAAGACCTGAAAGAGGAGCTCGAAGCTGACTGGGCCCTGAAGTGTGGAATCAATTCTGAGAAGGAGCTAGGAAACAGGACTGCACTGGGAGGGCGTGTGTCTCTGAGCCACCCTGAAGCTGGAACAAAGCACTGCCTGTCCTCAGCTGTCACAGGATTCCTCTTACCCTCAGGTAGCCCCAATATAAATAGAGATGAGTTCAGTTCCTATTTATGATGAGATATATAGTGGATGAAAAGACTGCAAGCAAGCATGTAAAAGCACAGCACATAGTAGGAACTCAATAAATAGTAACTGGCTTAATAATAATAATAGAAAAATAGAATTAGGTTTATAATTAGAACAAACATAAAGACCAGTCCTGAGCAATGAGTAGTCTAGAGGTTACCTAGAAATCATGCAGGCTGTAATTAACTTAAAAAAAATACATCAAGCAAACTATAAATAAATGAAAATTAGAAATTTAAACACTGAGTGAGTATTTTATAAAATTTTTTTAAAGTATTATTACATTTTCTTATGATAATGGTCCTGTGGATATGTGTTATTAATAAGTTGTTATCTTTTAGCAATGCATATTATAAATATCTATAGATACAATAATATTATATCTGGGATGGTTTGCTTCAAAATTATAAAGGAGCAGGACAGAAGGTGAGTATATCAAAGAAATAAAAATGGTCACGAGTAGGTAATCGTTGAAGCTAGGTAGTGGATGTACGGGGATTCTTAAACTTTTCTCTCTACTGCAGCACATGGTTGTATTTTTCTATAATAAAAAAGTAAAAAGCAACATGTTATAAATTGGCAGGAAGTAAATATTAAAGAATTTTTGGATAGGTTTTTGGCAATATATAAAAAGTTCCTAAATGTACATACTATTTTTTCCATTGAAATTCCATTACTAAGAAAATAATCAATACATGTGTTTACCATAGCATTATTTATGTCCAAAATTGGCCAAGATGTTAAATTCTCAAACAATAATAATGGTAAGCATTTAGTGGAATTTTATATGCCAGAAGTTATCCCAAGTGTTTTTTAAAATGCTAAAGAGAAACACACATCTAAAATGTGTTGGTGTAAGTGAATATACACATGTGAAAGAATGAAATTGGACCCCTACCTCACAACACATACAAAAATTAACTCAAAATGGAATAAAAACCTAAACATAAAAGCTAAAACTATAAAACACTTAAAATAAAGCATAAGTGTAAATCTTCATGAACTTGGATTAGGCAATGTTTCTTAGAGAAGATACTAAAACCACAAGCAACAAAAGAAAAAAATAGATAAATTGGATTTCATCAGAATTAAAAACTTTTGTGCTTCAAAAGGTACTATGAAGAAAGTGAAAAGACAACCAATAGAATGGGAGAAAGTATTTGCAAATCATCTATCTAATGAGGAAATTATATTCAGAATATACAAAGAATTCTTACAAATGAACAATAAAAAGAAAAAAAAATGGTGACTTATTAGAAGAGACAGTTCTCCAAAGAACATATAGAAATGGACAATAAGCACATGAAAAATATTCAACATCATTAGCTATTAGGGAAATTCAAGTCAAAACCACAATGTGATAGCATCTCACACCCAGTGGGATGTCTACTATCAAATGATTTTTATTACAAGTGTTGGCAAGGATGTGGAGAAATTGGAACTCCCATACACTGCTGGTGAGAATGTAAAATGGAACAGCTACTTTGAAAAACAGTTTGGCAGTTCCTCAAAACATTAAACATATAATTAGCCTATGACCCAACAATCTTACTTCTAGGTACACACCCAAGAGAACAGAAAACATATGTCCACAAAATAATGTGCACGGAAATGTTGACAGCAGCATTATCAATAATAATCAAAGAAGTGGGACCATCCCAACCATCAACTGATGGATGGATAAAGAAGATGTGGCTAATCCACACTACGGAATACTCTTTTACAATAGAAAAGAAAAAGTACTCACAAATGCTACATGGATGAATCTTTACAACTTTATACTAAGTGAAAGAAACCAGACCAAAAAAAAAGCCACAAGTTGTATCATTCCATTTATATGAAAGGTCTAGAACAGGAAATCATAGAGACAGAGAGTAGATTAGTGGTTTCCCAGGACTGGAGGGAGGGGTGAATGGGGAGTGGCTGCTGTTGGGTATGGGATTTCTTTTTGGGATGGTGAAAATATTCTGAAATTAGATAGTGATGATGGTTGTGCAATATATTAAAGATCATTGAATTTTACACCTTTTAAAAGGGTGGGATTTATGGTATATAAATTATATCTCTATGATTTAAAAAGAGAGATACAGGGCCGGCCCAGTGGCGCACTGCTACAGTGCACTGCTTGGGAGCGCGGCGGTGCTCCCGCCGAGGGTTCGGATCCCACATACAGACCGGTTCCCGCTCACTGGCTGAGCGAGGTGTGGGAGCAACACCGAGGGTTGTGATCCTGTTGCCGGTCCTGGTCCGGTATGGGTGCGACACTGAGGGTTGCGATCTGTTGCAGGACATGAAAAAAGACAAAAAGGAAAAAAAAAAAAAGAGAGAGATACAAACACCAAAACAAAGAGCTACATTTCTGGAGAAATGGAATTCTATTACAATATTCTTATACAGAATAAAATTAGAATTGTAAAGAGGAAAAAGGAACCAAAAAGATGTTGGATGGACCTACAGCTCTGATACATATTACCAAGTCAGCACACCTCTGTGAACCCCTCCTATATTAAATTCAGGTATTAATACCTGTCTAACTGGTTTGGAGATAAGAAATATGTTACAGTTAATTACTAGTTATCTATATGATTATTAGTCCTCCATACCATTATAAGAAACAGAAATTGGGCCAATGGACCATGGTTCTGGTCCAGGCATTGGTAATGAACAAATGTCCCTAATTCCACCCAAGATATTTCCAGTATTTGCACACCATTTCCCTAAAATAAGCTACGACATAGTGAGAAGAATGGAAGACTACCTAAGTAGAGAGCATCCTTTGTAGCTGAGGGCTCCCTGTTTCGGTTCCGAGAGGCAACTGACATGGCTAAAAGACTTGGTTAAAAAGCCTGGGTTATATACATTACAATTACGGAATATAGAGGGAATCATTTTTGAGAATTTACCAGAAAGAGGGAAAAGTTTGGAAATAGTGAAATGTGAAACATGCTGAAAAGGCTAAGCATACATTTGTCTATTTAACTTATGGATCAAAATTAAAATGTGGGGAAGGAACAGTGAGAAAATTTTGACACATTCAGGTGAAAGATACAGAGTATGAAGAGAAGAGAATTAATAGAAATTGTTTCAGAGAAAGGAGCTAACAACAACAACAATAACAAAAAATAGACTAAATTTAGAATAATATGATCTATGAGATGTTTGAATGATGTCCTCAGAAAAATGCAGAAAGGTCTGCTGTTCATTTATTTTCTTTACAGAAGACATGGGTATAGATACTGTAAAACAGTGTTCGTGTACTTTAGTGGCTGGGCCTGGTAGGGTTTGTCCTTCATTTGCTGCTTCTAGCACATGGGGCCACTCTAAAGGCACCATTCAAACTTTTCAGGTGGAGTTATTCAAAGATCTTCCCAAGATGAAAATCCAGTAGCACTTTGCTTGTCTTAGCTCATGTTAAGAGCCTACTGGGATGGGACCTGCTTTATCTCAAGCGTCCATGCAGGACCTAATATACTGTTTGCCCTAAAATTTGTACCATTAATTTTCTCCCAAGGAGCATGACATGCTTCCAGGCAATAATAAGCAACCAATCAAACTAATTGGGGAGAAGGCCAGTATGAATGAACGGAGAACTTCAATGATAGTATCCTTCTAAGAAAACACCAGATGCCTTTTTTTCTTCCTTTTGTTTTTAAGTTCCAACAATAAGTTGGACTAAATAAAGCATTTTTTGGTAGAGGTGCTGGGAAAATGTGTTTTAATCAATTGACAAGAATTATTTATAGTTGCCATCATTGTATGTATATAAATAATGTCTCAGAGTGATTAAAATATTTTATTAATAGTTTAAATGCTACTCTTGAAATATTGTTAACATTATTTGTACAACAAACATTTTCCGTCAATAAAATAAACTTAAAAGTTGCAAATATTGATAGTACACCATATGTTTTGTCCTTATGATGAAAAATTACTAAGTATTTATACTGAGTAATGTGATTTTATCGTTTCTAGAGTTATCTTGAATTTATTTAGAGAATTCACACCATGACCTTCCCCCTTTGTCCAAGGAATATATCCATCATGATTAACTTTGTTAATGTAATGAATTCATATGATTGAGTTCATTAAGGGATGTGAGAAAAACCCAAGGCAGGAATTTTGACTTGTGTTCCAGTCCCAGCCCCTAAAAGAGCTAACCACGAGCCTCCAGGCAGGGCTTTTAAAGCCTCAGAAATTCGCTAATGTCACTTGTAGAACAGAAAGATTTCACTAGATCCATGATATTATTAAAAACAATTTACCTATACTTTCTTTGTTAAAATGACTTAAGATGGCTTAAACATCTCTAAGGCTTCTCCAGGGCTAGACTATATGATACTTTGATTACATTTGTGGAGACTTTCTGCTGAAGGTACATCTTGAAGGATTCAGAGAGATTCAACGTGTTCCTTGCACATTATTCAAGAATAGGGCAGATTCAAAGTTTTAGAGTGTTTTGTTCCCCTTGGAAATCCAGGATTCTACCAGCCTACCCCTCTGATATCAGAAAAATGTGTGTTGAGAGACAAAAAAGCCAGGAAATTAAGCTAAATCTTAATGACAGGCATTTATTTGTTGCTGGGAATTCTGAGAGATCCCAGAGAAGACAGAGGTCCAGCTTGCTCTTAAGTAACACAAGTTTTGTTTCAAATCCTTGGGCTCAGGTACACATACAGATGAGTGAAGGACACATGTAGGTCTTTAAGATCTATCAGAAGTACTAATAAAAAGGAGAAAATGGCAGATGGAAAAACACCATGGGCAGTACCAACTTTTCATTCGTCTTTTGTATCCTTAAGATCTCCCACATCCAGCTTATTCATTTCTAGCCCCTTCTCCTCCAGCTTTATTAAATTTTGGTGTAGCAAAATGACCAGATAAAAATAAGTAGCCATCAAGGTGAATCAGATAGGAATTCCAAATGTGTTATTTCAAAGAGGGTATATAGATTTTAAACAAGAAACAAAACTGTAAGTTAAATGAATGAATAGGTCCAGCTTTATTAAATTTTGGTGTAGCAAAATGACCAGATAAAAATAAGTAGCCATCAAGGTGAATCAGATGGGAATTCCAAATGTGTTATCTCAAAGAGGGTATATAGATTTTAAACAAGAAACAAAACTGTAAGTTAAATGAATGAATAGGTAACCTAAGGAATTTCTGGCATCAGTCGGCCTGGCTAGAGGGTGGGGGGGAAGGGATGCAAGAAGGCAAGAAAATAATTAAAAATAGGAATGGATGGAAGTGTGGTGTGGGGGGCGGGGGGTGGTCTTCCCTGAATCACACCAGGCAACCAGACCAATAAATCCTACATATGTATGACATTCACTGGCTGCATTCAAAAACTGAGACAGAACTTTCCTAAGAAGTAAATCTAGTCTCTTGTTCTGCAGTAATGGTAAACCTGCATTGTAATTTCACTTCTGATAAGTGATACCCAAGCAGGCCAGGAGGCCAAACCCAAATTGCATTCTCCTGTCTGTCTCAATTTTGGTGAGTAAATCTCCTTTAACCACAAGATAAATCAATTAAAACACAAGCAGGTCACAGAGGAAGTTTCATTATTTCTCTCTTAGAGATTGTGTAGAATAAAAAGGCAAGAATTCATGTACTCAAATGTTTTCGTTTGTTTTATTTCCCTTATTTTGTAGTCGCTCCCCATGGTGGACTTGAATAACTCTTCATATATCTTGTTAGTGTCATTTTTCTTTTAGCAGAGGTGAATAATGCAAGATCTATTGCACATTTTCCTGCGTGTGACTTAGTCAACAAGTTTATAAATGGAGAAGAAGGTGACTAGGGTGCTTTCATGGCAGAAATGTACTTCTTGAGATTAGAGATATACAGAGCCTGATGAGAATGCTCCCAAATCAAGGGGCTCATTTCAATTCCAGATGCTGACAAAATACAATGACACAAGGAGCTATGAACTGAATCTGCATAATGAATGAGATTGCAGTTTTCACCTGGCTGTTTTACAAAAGAGAAAAACTGGAAGTTAGGTTCCTTTTTCTTTATGGAGAATAATATGTGAACAAAGGATATAATAATTTTAAAAAGATGCCCCCCACCACCACTGCACAAACACAAACACACAGACCCAGAATGGTTGTTGATTCTCTGCAATCTCTAATATAGTCACCTACTGTGGGTAAAATATTGTTGGAGGTGTGAATCTTTGGAGAAACCTAAATACTGTGCAGAAACGGAGCTACAATCTTCCCTCTTCCTTCTCATTTCCTTCCCTCTCCCCTAATCCAGCCCTGTGGATTTTCTCTCCCAGGTATCTCTGGATCCATCTGCTTCTGTGTATACCCAGAACCATGCTCCTGGTATAGTCTGCCTCACCTCTACCTGAATCCTTGCAACAACATTCCACCTTCAGCCCTGATTCCTCCCATCCACTCACCAATTTGAAGTGAGAATGGATACAAATTTTCAAATTTGATTCTGCCATTCCTGTTTAATGCCCTTCAAAGACTAGTTGTTGTCTTAAGGACCAAGCTGAAGTTCCTTAGCCCAGCTGACACAGCAAGAGAGATCAGGACTCCACTTACCTCTACAGCTTCCTTCACCCATACTCTGCTCTGACATCAGTGCTGGCATTCTGAACCATTTATGGCTCCCGAATGCCACCTAGTCTATCTAGACTTTGGACCTCTTCGTGAAGGTTGTAGTTACCTTCCCCATGCACTTTACTGCCTCCCCAACTCATCCTTTGCAATCACAAACGCACACACCTGCCCTCTTACACATTCACTTTTTAATCACTCATTTAACTGCTCACCCAGTATTTAATTATTTTAATTAGCTGCCACATTTTTACAAAGCAAGAAATATTTTTAAAATTCTAGTAAGTCTTCCATTGAAAAATCAGAAGATCTGTCAACTTGCTTTCCTATGTGTCAAACCTCAGCTCCAGTTTACAGGGTCACCTACTGTAAGACAGGGCATGCACCCTCTGCTACGGAGACCACCTCATTAATTTATATTGTGTTCCTGTCCACTCCAGGTTTTATTTTTCAGCTCTTGCTCTAACATACTTTTCTCTTTACTTGCTTGCATCTTGTCTTATGTACAGTTCACTGGAAGGTGAAAAGAGCAAAAAACATGTAGCATTATCCTTAGAACAACTTAAAGCCATTTTTGAGATTTAGCCTTATTCTGAAAGTTCTTTGGGAATCAAAACAATGGCTCTAATTCTAAAAAATATAAAAATAAATTTTAAACATATTAGTTGCATGCCAGAAACTATACTAAACTCATTGAATTCTCAATGGGAAAAAGGTGTTCCTCATGTTATTCACATTACAGATACTCGTCAAATTTGATGGGAGTTACATCCTGATAAACCCATAGTAAGTCAATAATATTATAAGTGGAAAATGCATTTAATACCTCACCTAAAGAACATCATAGCTTAGCCTAGCCTATCTTAAATGTGCTCAGAACACTTCTCGTGGACTACAGTTGGGCAAAATCATCTAATACAAAGACTATTGCATAATAAAGTGTTGAATATCTTATGAAATCTATTAAATTCATTGCATCAACATTGAGATGGCTTCACACCATCATAAAATCAAAATATTGTAGGTGGAGCCATAGTAAATCAGGGACCATCTGTACATAGTTGAGAAAACTTAGCATCAGAGAGATTGCTTTGGCCAGGGCCAAGAGTCAGACTGGTTTAAAATGGCAGAGGCAGGAGTCAGATTGTATCTGGTGACCTTCANCCATTCATTTGTATATTTACTTATTTATTTTTATTAGCTCCCACAAATAAGTGAGAACATGAGATATTTCTAATGGTAATGTAGCACAGTGCCATGGCCTGGAATAAGGGTGGACTTTAGGATCAGAGAGACGTGGAATCAAACTCCATACCTCTCATTGATTAGCCATATTGACAACAGAATCACCTAAGGCTTAGCAAATGATCTGTAAAATAGGAATAAGTGTATTTTGTGTGTTCATGGCAAGGCTTGGTTAAGATCAATCATTGTTGTTCACATATCCCTTCTCTTGAGTCTTCACAA